CGACTCCAGCCACCTCCTCTTCTCCTCTCTTAGCATTGCTGACTTTCTCTCCTTGTGAACTAGCAGAGGAGACACAACTGTGCCCAAATCAGGACATTCCCCACCCCCCAGCCTGCTCCTGCACCCATATCTGGAGCTGGGAGTCAGATCTCCCAGTGGAAGATCAAGTGCATGTTTGCTTACAACAGAGTGAGGAATAGCTCAATCTGTCACCCAGAGCTTTTTGAAAAGAGCAAGAAACTGAACTCAAGAGACATTCTACCACCACCAACTCTAAGGGATTAAATAAATTCTTTTGGCTTTCTGGAATCTCACATTAAATATTCTTGGAAATAAGTAGGCCATAGGCTAATGCTAAGAAATCCTTCATAATAAAGATACTCAGTTTGTAATGTAACTGTTGTTATAGGATTTGACCTGAATAGAAAAAGAAACTAAACAGAGCTTTCTCAACAGAGCTCTTTGAGGGTGGATGGTGGAAATCCCCAGAAGAAACAGCAACTCTCTAATAAAACTTTAAAGACCTCCACCCCTCCCATAAGAAGTTCTTGCTGTAAAAAAAACTATAGAGAAAAAAACACTGTGGGATGTAAAAGAAGTACCTGGATTTCAGAGCCAAAAGGACCAGAGTCCATATCCTAACTGATCCTCTACTTTATTGTATGTCCTTAAAAGAGCTCAGCATAACTTCTAAGACTCAATGTTCTCATCTTCAAAATGGGAAGAGAGGAGCCCACACTTACAGTTACTGTGAGGAGTAAGAAATCTGCAGAATCTTAGCATATAGGAAGTTCTCAAGTTAGTCTTGCCCTCTTCTCCTTGGAGACTAGTATTTTTAATTTAATTTTCTGAACATCTTAGGATTTAGTTTTGTAGTTCCTTCTATAAAAAAAGATTGGCCCTTTTGGCCCATAGGCATGGTAGAAAGATTCCTGGAAAGAGAAACAGAGGACCTTGCTTCTGCTACTTACAAATGAGACCTTCCTGGTCCTGTCTCCTGGCCTGTAAAATAAGGCTACCCCCAGAGTGATTATAAGAATTCAGTGAGGGAATGATGAAGCACTTTGAGAATCAGGGGGTGCTCTAAGATGAAAGTGCCACATGCAGCTCAGAGACAGGCATCTGCATTTATCTACCTGTGAGGACTCCAGACAGTAGAGATCTGGTCTCATGTGAGGCATGCCAGAGAAAACAAAACTCCAGAAAGAGAGAGAGGAACGGGCTGCAGAAGTGGAGTTCAGGGGATTCAGTGAAAATTCCAAGTTCAATAGTATTGGTGGGTGTGGTCTCTGATCAACTAGAAATAAAGATAGTTGTCCACTCATCCACAGCCATTGCTCAGATCCTGTCTGAAACTTACAGTGCCCACCAAGGGGTCTAGGTAGAGTCCAGAGCAGAGGGAACTAAATGAAGAGAACAGAGAAATTTTTCCAGGTTTATTCATCCATATGCAAGAAAGACATCACAAATTGAAGATGTGAATATTCCAGTCACAGAGAGATGGGTTGCACTGTGGGACAGAAATCCAGAATAAAGAAGAGGCCAGGACAGCCATCAGGTAACCTTATCCCTCCTCTTTGGTCCTATTATCACCACCAGCAATAACGTAATAATTGCTCTCATTATGAACAACTGTCGTTTCCGAACTCAACAATTTGCCAGGCACTGGGCTAAGAGCTATATGAAGCTCCTGTCATCTAATCACTATTGCATCCATGCCTGGAATAAACATTATTTCATTATGCCCCACTTTGCAGATTAGCAAATAGTTACTCCAGTGACCATTTGGGGAAATCTTTAGCCTTAAGGATCCTTAATCTAAATATGAGGGTCAAGAATCTTCCAGTCTCTCAAAAAGGATTCTTCCTGGGTGTACATTAATCAATACCTCATTTTCCACATTCAACAAAAGATTGAGAAAACTGAAGTAGCTAAGAAGAGATGGTCATCCCTCACTAGTGTTGGATTAGGTCCTCATCTCAACCTTCTTTGTAGCAAACATCCTGGCCTTAACATCCACATCCGTGGTTCATTTTCTGGTGTGGGGAAGAATTATACTAATATTAGGGGTGGCTTGGGGTGAGGGAGAGCTGACATATTCAGAACACTCGGATAACTTGACATGGGTACAGACGGCAGTGACATCACTTCCTGTGTCTTATTCTGTACAGAGGGGAGAAGAAAAGGCTTCTCAGCCATCACCCTAAAAAAAAAAAAAAAAGAAAGAAAAGAAAAAGCCACCAAGCCAGGGCTTGGCAATTAGTGCTGGAGTAAGTGATCATCTTGTGATTGCTCAGCTGGGGTCTGAAGACTTGTAAATGCATTTAGGAGACAGAAATAGAAGATGTTGTGAGAGAGCAGTGAAACCTGGCCCATTTGCCAGGAGAAAATGTCCCAAAGCTGCCGGGAAATTCACTCAGTCAGAATTTGGGGTGTGTCTTCATAAATGGGAAAAGTTAATAAACAAAACCCATGGACGGAGCCAGATCATAAGCCTCCTCCTATTGACTCTTCTGTCTGTGACCCTCAGGCTTCTCTGGAGTCCCTGTGCTGTCATCAGAGCCGCTGACTGGGTACTGACCTTTCCCCACCAAGCTGAGCATCCTGATACCCCCCAGGGGGTAGCCAGACCGAAATAGGGGTGGAGTATAGTGACCCATGCCTCTCAATGATCCCCCCAAAACAAGCACTTTGGCAAGAGTGGCCAGTGTGCCCAGGAAAAATAGGGCTCAAGGTCAAAAGCAGGTTCACTGGTACCATCAGGACCCGCTCCACCCAGATCCCCCAGCCCACAACACCTTGCAAATCTTGCAAGCCCAGCCAGCCTTTGTCACTGCCCACCAACCAACAGAGCCCAAACCATCCCAAAAGAGATGTCAGGTCACAGCCCTCTTCTAGGGAACCCCAAGGGCAAGCCAAAGACACATTCTGGTACAACCTGCCACTGGGAGACACCCATAGCCCCAAATGCACCACTGTTCCCACTTTGGTGGCCCAGAAAAACACGATGAGCCCTGAAGCCATGAGAGCTTCAGGTAGCACCATGCCCTAGAAGGCTCTGGGGTATGAGGACCTGGGCCCTGTCCTCCAAGGGGACAAATCTTCTCTCCTACTGAGCCAACTTCCCCCAAATACGACCCTATGCTACAAATTCACACTCTGCATGCCATATTTTATCCAAGGAGTAATTTTGTGGGGGCTATGGAGTTGAAGGGGCTTGGTTTTAATTGCCAGCATTTAAAAATTGAGTACTTTTTTACAACCAGAGATATGATAATAAATAAATATATAAATAAATAAATGATTTTTAAAAATTGAGTACTTTATCTGGATCACCACCAGCTCATTTGACAAAATAGCAAGGTCTGGGACATTGGGCCCCCACCTCCTAGTGGCAGCAGTCAGCTGGATATGTTTACTGGCTGACCCTTCAGAGGGGACATGTGGTCCCCAGCCTCTACTGTCCCCACCTGGCCTGCCATGGCATGTGGCTTTGTGACCTTTGTATGAGTTACTATGAAAAGAGAGACTTCTCAGATGTCAAAAGCTCTTTCCCTTGGGATGTTTTACACAATGAAACTCAAATCCCCAATAAAATAAACACCTGGAACATCTGGTCCAAGGCCCTCTTTTGGTCCCAGCTATTCCTACAGCTGCAAAGAAAACACATCAGGTGACTCATGCCACAGAGACTAAAGCAGGGCAAGGGGGTAGGAAGCAAATTAGACAGTTGAAAGGGAGGTTTGGCCCCTATAGCTAATACATCTGGCCCTAAGCAATGGTCATAGAGCTTTCTATTTTCAAAGGAAGGAAAGAAAGTTTATCACAAAGCAGAGATGACCTTAACTGATAAACAAACTAAGAACTAACAACCTGCTTGGAAAAAATACACTGAGGCCTGAGGGTAAGACCAGGACTCTCCAGAAGAGAAAGCAACTCCCCCACCATAATTCCCTAGGATCTTTTACCCTTTTTACCCTGCCCTCCTCTTGCCAATAGCTTCCCTTGGAAGCATGGACTCTTCATAAGAGATTTCTAGCCAGCCATGCTGCCCTTCCAGTATCAAATGCCAATTATCAGTAAGACTCCCCAGAGGCCAAAGGAAAGACTAATCTGCATGGCCCTTCTCTGTTTTCTCCCCCAAATGCATTAGACCCACCCCACCTGCTTCCTGCAGAATCTCTGCTCTTTGGGAACACACCCATTAGATGTCCAGGCAAGACTGTGAGGGAGAGATGACCTAGACAACAAGCATGCCCCTGTGGATGGGATGCAGTGAGTTGGAGTGTTTCCCTGATCAGTCACCTCCTTCCCAGGAATGGCAGGCTCCCACTGAATCCTGAGATCTATCAGTCCAGGACTAGGCCTGAAGAGGAAGCAGCAAGCTCTGGTGATTCAACCCCCACTAGAATCTAGCCAGACCCAACCCTTAAGGAAGCCATTTCACCAATCAGACAGAGAGGGGAGAGACTGGGTGAGAGAAGTACAGACAGACAGGAACCCCATCCAAAGATGGGTAACCTACATCTTGTCCCAAACAAAGTCCTGTTAACTTATACAAGTGTCTCCACTTCTCTGAGCTCTTTTCCATTGAACCTAGAATTTATTTAGACACACTTGGTCTGGTCTTGCTTTCTCTCTTCCTCCATCCCCCAATATCAAGTCCAACACACACACACACACACACACACACACACACACACACACACAAGGTCTTGGAAGTGCAAATGCAAATGTCATCATGAAAAGTGTATACAAACTTGAAAGCCAGGAGATCCTCCCTCTCATCTCAGGTCTTAGACTTCTCCTTCTGATAGGAATCTTAGTCCTTATCAAATCCATTTTAAGAGACAAAACTGGAGGCTCCAATAAGTTAAGGGCATTGCCCAAGAGCATCCAGTAGCAAAACCAGACCAAGATTTCAGGTCTCCAGTTTTGCTGCCCAGAACTGTCGCCATGTGCGCACCCCCACCTGCTCCCTGCAGCCCACCTCTACTCACATATAGCGCAAGTGGGGGTTCTTGGCAAAGGCCCTGGGCTGGATGCTCCGGAGTCCTGAATTCTTGATGGTCCTGTGCAAAAAGAAAAAGAAGATCAGCAGAGCTCCAGGAGCAGGGGTTTGCAGGATTTCAGACCCCTAAGGGTTTTCTGCATCTCTTCATCACCAATCATCCCTGATTGCATCCCTGGCCTAACTGCAGGTCTCAGTGAGAGGCCTCTGGGCTCACACCCTTTAGGAACCTGGTTTAGGACTTGAGATATGAGCAGGCAGAGCTGGCAATGGCCCTCTACCCATCCTGATCAGTGGGCAAGAACAGGAGCTCCTTCCAATTCAGCAACAACAGGGCTACAACCCTCCCTGTGCCTTTTTGTTGTCCCTACCCTGGTTCCCCAATAGTCACTAGCTCCGAAGTCCCCTGGAGGAGGTGTATGGGAAATCTAGCACTAGATTTTTTCAAGATCAAGGAAAGAATTCTAGCCCAGCAGGCCTGGGTGCAGGGTCTGCTTTGAAATCCTAATTTCAGGGTGTGGTCACACAATCTCTGGGCTCTCTGGGCTAAGGTGAAAGGTGAGGGAATGAGGAGAATGGCCCCTGACATCCCCTAAATGGGTGGTGCCAACCCTCCCATTAAGACCCACAGTGGGGAAAGCAGATTGCAGGCTTGCCTTGACTGTCACCCTTGCAAAATCAGATAGGCAGCATTCCACCCCAGGCATACTCACAGCTTTTGGAGTCCAGTGTAGAGCTCCATGTCCACAGCATTGAGTGTGTGCAGGCTGCGCCAGTTCTCTATGTGTCTGAAAGGAAGGAGAGGCAAGGGTCAGGTCGGCTAGAGCAATAGCAATGGCGCTGGCTTTACAGCCAGACCTGAGTTGCAGTCCTGGATGGGTCAAATGCGAGCTGGGCCTTCTGCCAAGTCACCAATATCTCTGAGCCTCAGTTTCTTCCTCTGCGTGGTGGAATTCATTGTGACAATGAAGCGGACTCATGGGCTCAAAGGGCCTGGCCCACGAATGCCCATGGACGTAGCATTTGGCACCTCCCTCTTAGCTCCAGAAAGAATCTACTTTTTGGAGACATGAAACCCAACCTCCCTGCTTGTCCTTCCTGACTCAGTTTCCCTCTGTCTCCTTTCCTTATTTTTTCCTATTTAGAATTTCCTAAGGGAAGCATTTTTCCCTTAGCTCCTGACCATAGAAACAATACAAATAACATGGATTATAAAAAGGAGGGTGTGGCTTGCCTGTGGGCATAGCTTCTGGTTATAAAACCTCAGCCAAACACACTCCTGGCTCAGGCACCCACCAGGGACCGGACACTAACAGTGACCACAGCCCAATCCAACCTGGAGCCCAAGAAACCAATGATTCGATTTGGCTGAGCTGACTCCAGGGAGGAGGAAGCTCCCTAAGACCAGGGCAGCACTATGGTATTTATAAAAAGAGTGAGAAACGAGTAGTCTAGAAGTCACATTTGAGCCTTATCTCTGAGACTTAAGTCTCAGTGGCTTTGAGCAAGTGCTCTAAGCTTTTTGGGTCTCTCATTTTCTCATTTGTAACAGAAGAGGGTTGCACTAGATCAGCAATTTCCTCCCCTTTTCAATGTCTGTCTAGAGCTTTCCCCCAAGAGACCTCTTGTTTAAGGAGGTTTGTATCTAGCAAGCACACTACATATATTAAGTAATAATTAATTCACCTCCGATTATTAATCAGAGATATAAATTGCTGTTAAGCAGAGTTTTTCAATAACAGACACAAGCCAGAGCTAATTCTTCTGGTGCCTAAATTCCAGCCCAAAGCCAAGAAACTTGAAAAACATTATTAACATGAAAAGGCTGTTCAAAGGTATAAGTCTCAATTCTGGGTTTCCTCACATTAACAAAAATGCTAGAGACAAACACCCCTCATTGCAATTCTGGGGGTCCCCAGGTCAAAAATCATTGCTACTGTATTGATTACCAAGGGCCTTTCTGGCTTTAAAACCATGTGAAAAGTAAATGTCCATATACTCCTGCTGTCCCCAGAGAATCAAAAGATTTCAGGAAAAGGCCTTCCACTGTCCACCTTTCCCTCCAGGATTAGACCCTCTGGTCAGTGCCCAAGAAGTCTAGGTACCATCTCAGTGAAGAGTACAGAGAGGTGACAGTTCACCCTGGGACAGAGGTACTCAAGGCACACCCAGGCCAGAAAAGTGACAGCCATCTTCCCCAGACGTCTCCTCTCCAGCCTCACCACACCCATGGCTCTGCCATCTGCCACCAAGTCTAGTCACAGCCAAGAAAGCAGCAGGGCTGTGGCTGCCAGGGCCTCTGGAAGCATTTCAGAACCACACAGTGACAAGGGATGCCGAGAGCCTGTTTTGTACCACATTCTCCTAGAGACCCTGCTGACCAGCCAGAGACGCTGGCATCTGCTGGGGACATGGACCAGGTGGACAGGATAGTATTGGATTCCAAATTCAAAGTCTTCTCCCTGGAAGTCTTGTGACTCCAGGGCAGTTTGCTTGGTCTGGTCCCACCAAGGCAGGGACCTTGGCAACATTTCAGATGAAAAGGACGGCCAGGGAGGGGAGGTAGAACTCCCTGTACCACCAAGTCCCCCCAGCATATTGACTGGGCCATGGCCACGTCAATTACTAATTAGATCACAGTGTCTGTACAGAGTACCATTGATACATGGGAACCCAGTTTCCTGTAAGGATCTGCTCCCAACAAGTAGCTGTCAACCAAATTATTTAAATAGATGAAATCATTTTCTCTGTCCACATTAGCATTCCATAAATGTGTTTTTATGATGGTTGAGTTGTCAATCATTATGGCATTCTAAAACTTTATTCATTTTGCCCTCACACCCCCATTCCCCCAAACTGACCCTTACCCACCTTACGCACCCTAAGATATGGGGGGAAATGAACAAACTCAATGCAAAGAGTCCTCTGGTAAATAAAATAATGGCTCCCATTTCTTCTGATAACATCTGAGTTTCCCTAAATCAGGAAATGGCATTTTGTTTGACAGCCACAGAACAACAGCATGATTAGAAGCCAGGGCTCTAGAAAAATGACTGGCAAACCACAGCCCAGGGGCCAAATCCAGCCCACTGTCTGCTTTGTTGTACCGGCCTAGAGCTGAGTTAAGCTTTTACATTTTTTGTGAAAAAATCAAAAAAAAGAATCATATTTTGTGACCTGTGAAAACTAAGTGAAATTCAAAGTCCCACATTCATATTCACTGTGTCTCAAGTCATGACAGAGTTGGACAGTTGCTGCAGAGACAGCGTGGTCCACAAAACCTAAAACATTTACTCTGGCTCTTTACAGAAAATGGTCAGTGACCTTTACGTAGGGTCAAGCTACCAGGGCATGCAGCCCAGCCCCGCCCCGCCTCGCCCCAGGATGACTCTACCCACAAGACCCTACCCAGGTTACTTCCCCTGTCTGTGCCTCACTTTTCTCCCCTGTCACATGGGTCCAATAAAATACCTGCCTCATGAGAATGACATGAGGCCTGAAGGGGCATGTTGAGGAGGCCTCGTGGGACAGGTCCTCAGGAAGCACCAGTCACGGTGACTGTTTCCTCTCATCCCGTACAGAAGTTGAGCCACCTTTTCTCAGTTTCTAAGCTAAAAATGGCATCATGCTTCTGCTGCAAGTTGTCATTTCTCAGAAATCATTTGATAAAAAGCCCATGGGGCAGAAGGGTGAGGGAAACCTGTCATTCATGACCTCCAAGAAAACCGTTTGTGTAGAAATTTATAAACAGAGTCAAGAAACAACCGATGGCCACATCAGAGCAGGTTCCAAGGTGGATAGAAACAGTGAAGATGCAGCCCTGCCATTTTAGATGACATCAGCAGGCGCCTGCCAAGTTTTCTTATGACTCACTGCTTGGTCCCAGACCAGAGGGGTCAGTTATGGTAACTCTGCTGGCTGGCTTGTGCTAATAGGAGGCCACAAGTTTAAGTGGCTCTACAAAATATAATAAATAAATGAAGAGGAAGAGGGAAGGTTTAGGGTGTGTGTGTGTGTGTGTGTGTGTGTGTGTGTGTGTGTGTGTGTGTATGTTTTGCACAGGAAATTGAACCCAGGAGCATTCTACCACTAAGCCACATTCCCAGCCCTTTTTATTTTTTGCTTTGAGATAGGTCTTGCTAAATTGCACAAACTGACCTTGAACTTAGGATCCTCCTGCCTCCTGCCTCAGCCTCTGGAGTCTCTGGGATTACAGGTGTGTGCCACCCACCGTGCCCAGCTGTTTTGCTTTTGCTAATAGTAGAGTGGATTCTCTGTCTAGTATGATTACATATGTCTCCTCCATTTCTGTGTTTTTCTGGGTTGTTCCAGTTGTTTCCATAGTGGTTTGTTTTTTTTTTATCATTTGAAAAACATCAATAACTATACATTTTTAAAGGAAGGTCAGGTACTTGAACCCTGTGCAGAGCCACAGCTGAGTGCTCTGTTCCAGAACCACAGGCTGGACCAGCCCCCCTGCAAAGGCCTATCACAAACCCACTCCCGCTGTGCAAGCGAGAAGGCAGAAGAGCTCAGAACAACGATGGGAATGTGGCAGAGTGCATGACGCTGGTTGACCCCACAGACCTGCAGCCCAGTTCTCCATCTGGATGTCCCTGTTTCAACCATGAGCAGGGAGAGGAGGGGTGGAGAGAGAGTCAAGAGGTGGCACACCAGTATCCCTCTCCTGCTTTAAATCAACAGCCCCTACTTTAAGGACTTCACACAGTGATCTTCAAAAGAAGGAAATTTTGCCTTCCAGAAGACCTTTGGCTATGTCTGGAGACATGCTTCGTTGCCACAACTGGGGGGAGAGAGTAACACTAGTATCTTGTGGGTAGAGGCCACAGATGCTGCTAAACACCCTGCCACAGATAGGACAGCCCATGACAAACTACTGGCCCCAGAAGTTCACAGCTCTGAGATGGAGAGGCCCTGCCTTATTACATCCAGCTTCTGCCGAAGATCAACACTGATGCAAGAGTCCCAGGGCTTGAGATGACATCAATTTTGAAAATGACTGCTCTGCACAAGCAAACACTAGGAGGCCTCAAGCCAAAACAAAGAAGCCTGCTTCTAGGTCACTGAGTCCAAGGTAAGAGAAAACACACACAAAGCCATGGTTTCCATGACACTCTCAAGTCAAGGGCATTACTTGAGGGGAAATTAGGGGCTCTCAGGCCCTCTGGGCTGTGCCCCAAGGCAGGCTACACATTCCAGAAGCAATAACAGTCTCTGGAAGGGATACACTGAGCAGCCTTTCTCCTCCACTGAAGGTTCCTCTCCTGAATTCCCCGGGACTCTTCATTCTGCAGAAATGAAAAATATTCCATCCACAGAGCCAATCTAATGTCCTGTCCCCATTTTCTTGCCATTACACCACAGAATTGCTACCCTGCCAAGAGTCTCGATGCACCCCTCTTCCAGAAAGAGGGAGGAAGTGAGGTACAATGTTAGCCTCCAGAGCCAGGCTTTGGGCTGCAGCTCAGAAACCCTGGTGAAGTCAGTGAGCACCTCTGGGATCAAAGAACATGATGCCTCTGGTGGACTCGAGTGGGAGCGAGTGAGGAGATGGCTAGGCAGAGCCTCTTTAGAAGTCTTCGAGAATCTCCGGAAACAGAGCCACTCTCCTTGATTCACAATAGCCACACGGAGACCCAGAGACCCCAGGCCACAGGTTCCTGCTTCAAACCCATTTTTGGAATAGGACATGGCATAAATTATTAATTGATACATCCACAGAGAACACAAAAACCCTTTGTGCTAGAATAAATTAGGTTGTACTTTT